CCCCAAAACCCCAAAACCCCAAAACCCCAGTGTAGAATATAATAATTGTAAATTTGTAGTAATCATATCAAATTAAAATGGGTATTTACAGACATGACCAATATGGCAATCAAGAGGGAGGCTGAGTCAGGTACCGGTAAGAAAATGGTTAGTGACTGAATATAGAATCTTCCTCACTGTTCTGCTGGTAATAAATACATTTACCTTTTGATTGATCACAATTTGGACATATAAATTTGTCAGAGTCTTTGGAATTAAGAAAAAACTCCAACTTGTATTCCTCCTCCTTGTATGATTATCTGCCATTGGACGGATTGTTTTCTTTTCCCTTGAACTGGCATACAGGAAAGGAACATGTTATGATCCGCCTCCTGCTTGATTAGAAGGATCCATTCATTGGCTAAATGCTGCTTTGCTCACATCTGCTGTGATTTCTAATATTTTTAACTGGTTATATCAAAGGTTGAGACTTGACAAGCTGCGAACAGGAGTACGGAGGCAACAATTTGGATATCATCTCGCCTTGATCTTGACTCTTTCATTAGAATTAGTCCTTTACTTGGGATTGATTTTGCTTTCGTGAGCTATTCATGGGGAACCACATGCAATTCTGCAGATATTTGGATATATTTATGCTTCTACATTCATCCTCATCGGGATTGTTTTTGCCTTTGTTGGCTACATATTCTACAGGAAGTTCAAAATATCTTCTCCAGAGAATGCAAGGAAGATCAAAAATCGAGTGATAATGAGTGTTATTATTATATTTACTTCTTTTGTCATCAGAGGCATCAATAATTTTATAGTAATCATCCTTGATGGAGAAGAGACAATGAGGCTCCAATGGCTTGAAAATGATTCAGTCCCAATCGCAGTGCTTCTATCATTGTATTTTATAACAGTGGATGTAGTCCCTTCAGTATATTTATCATATACAATTAAAGTAATAACTCAGGAATATAAAAACCGTCACAAAACTCGATACTCAAAAAATACTAGTTTCTTCAGAAAACAATTATCTTTCGGAGAGGTGCAACATGATCTTGTCGATGAAAATAGTGAATCATATGAGACTTCAAAGGAGACTCTAGACAAGTCCAAGGCAAGTTTACAAATGAGGGGTGATTCCTTTTCTGATATCAACTAATAACTCTAAGAGATATTTATGAGCTCATCAATCTTGAGCGGATTGGGCTTATTATAAACCACCAGTATCAATCCTGAGGGCCTGAGCAGGGGTTTTGGGGTTTTGGGGTTTTGGGGTTTTGGGG